GTATAAAAGTCAAGCTGAAAAGTCTTACCCCTGTATTGTAGTGGGAGGGGCATACTTATAGAGGGCATTTAGTATGCTCTTAGCGCTCATTTTCGATGTGGGACTCGTGGGAGGGCCCTATGAGGTTGACACGAGTCCTTAGATATTTCAGGCGGGTGCTTCGAGGTTGATTCTGCAGAATCGGTAGGGGATACCGATTGTAGGCTGTGTTGGGCCCTGTAATGATCTTTTGCTGCTTTGAGACAATATCATCAGTAGCCTATGCCGATTGTCCGAGGCCTTGGGTGCTTGGGCGAGTTTATGAGATCCACGTGTCGTTGTACGAGTGGAGGGTCAGATATGGTACAAACAAATTACTCCAAACCATTACATTGGTGAATCCTTTGCATAGTCCTTTTAAGTATACATCTTTAATGTAAAGAAGAAAAAAATATGATCAATAATGCATAAAGACAAGTGTTCCATGTGCAACACAGAACGTTTTGGCATGGATTGTCTGCAATATTTTATTGTTGACTTATGTCGACTCTCCAAGTTCCTTTTATTAGATTTCTGCTCCATCTAAACATTGCTAAACAAAATCAAATTAATTAACGCAGGCTCATTGTTGTGTTATAGGTGTAAATCAATAGAACAACTGCTTGCATTTTGCAGAGGCCAATACCACAACATTCTGAAATCATTAACTTGTCTATCATTCTTCTCAAAATAAAACTTGTCTATCATTCAAAAAACATCCACCGTATTGTTATAAACAACCACCAGTACACATTAGACACCAGAAAATAAAGCCCCTCAAGTGAGAGGAAAATATACAGGCATAACCTTACTCTTTACAAATTGATAAACAACTAGGGATCGACCGAGGATTGGATATCTGAGGTCTCATTATATTCCCGTGACTCCTACAACTAAAACCCTAATATCATATTAGACAATCACTGCACCCTTTTACAATCCAAACTGTTATGAAATGAGCCAAATGAAAAGAAATATGGCATCGATCCATGACCTTGTTTTCTCAAATCACCGATATAGAAGAAATGGATAAGCAATCACCGGACTAGACCTTATATTTTGAGGTTGGTCCGGATTCTGTACCACCCCTTCTTGCAAACGCCGACGACCTTCCATCCGTGTTGTTCGAAGAAAGATCGAAGATCTTTGCTGGTTTCCTTCATTTGTCTACGCAGCTGTCCCATACAAAGAAAAAATTGCAGGCCTCGAATTTAAATGGCGTCTCTGTAGCTCTGTTTAGTCAAATGAATGCACTTTGCTTATGGCTATATATGTGAATGGTGGAATATGCTTGTGGCTATTTTTCATTCAAATTTTAACGTTGCAATCACCACCAATAAAATTAGGAGGTTCAGTTTTGGTGGAAGCTCGTTCACTGGTTTGCTAAGTATTATCAAAGTATAGAAGCTTCCAGCCGTTTTCTATGTTTGGTTAGGTGGCTTCGAGGCGGTCTTATTTTAACAGCGTTCTGTTACTCGAAATTGCTTGACAAACAATTTACCCGGGAACAACCGCGCCAACATGTTTCATTGGTTCGTAATGGACAATTAACTTTACCCCTTTTCCAAGTCAAAGTATTTTGACAGTGGCTTATTTCGGGTTTGTGGAATTACTCGAAACACTTAGCTTGAGTCGTAAAATAGGGCTCGTTTGAGAGTGATTTTGAGTAGGTCAAAAAACACTTCTATAGATAATTACTTTTCCAAATAATCACTTTAAGCGATTTTAAGTGATTTTATGGAGAAACACATAGAAAGTGTTTCTGTTCAGAATCACTTAAAATCACTTAAAGTGATTATATGGAGAATTACATGGGAGGTGATTCTCCCTATAAAGTGATTCTAGCCTATTTAGAATCACTCACAAACGAGCCATTACTCTTATGCACGCATTGAGAAATAAAAATGAGATAAATTGGTCCATATTTTTTGTTCTAAGAGAGAAGAAACTGACAATTAAAACAAGTTATTAACTAGCTCTTTATATAATAGTATTTTTCACATGTTTAATCATAATATATATTTTTTTTGCCATGATTCAACCAGAAAAATTGTAAGAGGCTTGTAGCTCAAGTGGTTAAGAATATTTATCTATGCATTCGAGATTCTATGTTCAATTTTCCCTCCCCCAATATTGCTTGTATATAAAATATAAAAAAACCTAGAAAGTTGAACAAACTGATTTGGCACTGATTTTACATGAAAATTCTGCTCTGTTTGTTTATCTTATTGGCTTCTAATGAGATGAGTTTAATGTATTTTATTTATTTTATTTGGCTCATTGTTTCTGGCCCTCCTCGTTATATGTTCCAATTCTCTGTAATTGACAATGTTATTCGATGCAATCCCCTCTTTTTCGCCAAAAAAATAATCGATGAATATAGCATAATGTCCTAAACACATTTTCTTGATTTTTTACTCATAGGCCAAGCAAAATAACGAAAACGCCTCGCACTGCAATCCTCTACTGGCGAGACTAGGGCAAGGTAGCAAGTTGAAGCGCCATTGGTCAATTTGGCGCTATCTTATTGGCTGGAGCTACAGCTAACATAAGTGTTTTAAAAAACCGTCACTCTTTGGCAACTACCATTCCTACGGAGAAGAAAGACTGACTGGTGAGTGGATCGGTTACTCACCCGCTTCCCCATGGACCTTCTTCCTCAGACCCTCTCAGGTGCGTTACCCTTCACCCTGGTTTAGGGTTAGGGTTTCTGAAATTACTTTCTCCAATTTCTCCCTCTCTTTGCGTCCCGAGCTTTTCTGGTTTCTCTACAATGGAAGAACCATCTTCTTCTTCCTCCTCCTCATCTTCTTCTCACGGTGCTTTCATCAGTAGGGACACTTCAGGTGCTGCTGCGACGTCGTCTTCGAGCGCTTCGCAGGTCCGCGAAGAGGAGGACGATCACAATCAGTATCAGCAGCACACCGATTTTCGGCATCCGGAGGTAGAAACCCACGAAATCGGCACTTCTTATGGAGCAAACCTATCGCCATTCGATGAGGTGTCAACAATCATTCGGGACGACACTTGGTCCTGCATCATCGTCCTCCTCACCTTCTGGTTCTTTGGTTTGTATCTATATCTAATTTTCAAATTAACTCTGTTTTTAACATAATTGTTATTTTCTCTTCGATTATTATTAGTAATTAAGCTGCTGATTGGATGTTGCAGTTTCGATGACTTTGATTTTGGGAGTGTATGGGTCTTCAAGTTTAGAGCTAGGCCCTAATAGTTCAATTCTTCTGCAACCTAACTCCATATTTGTGCAGTCTGTAAAGGTATTTTTGGCACTAGCTCTACCATTTTCCATTTTACCTATATGATTCTGTCTGGTAATCTAGGTGGGTATTTATTAGGTAGAAGAGCTGAATATATCAAGTCCTGGCCCTGTACTATATGGTTTCTATCATACTCCTCCTCTTGATACTGAGACAACTTGGTCAGAAACGCATACTGTCTCCGTTCCAGCTGATTCTCATCAGGCAAGTTTGCTTAAAATGCTTTCTATGGAGTGTTCTTTTCGTTTTCTCATAGTTTGTAGTCCTTTTTTTATCCTCTAGTTGTTGATTTGGTTGATAATTTGCTCTGCTTCTTCTTCAGGAGTGGATATATTTCCTAAATGGCGGGTCTCAAATAAGTATATCATACAGCGTGTACTCCTCTGTTTTTCTTATTATCGCTCAAGGTATGTACCTACCTACATTTCGTTTTCTTTTCCCATCCAAACTTATAGCTTGCTTTTCACTTTAGAAGTGTCCATGCTAGTTACACTTCTTGAATATTATTACAGCAATGAAAATTTAATATCTTCATTCGTCCGTTTCACATAAGTTTGAGTATATTTTGATTAGTGTAGTGAGCTATTGAGGCAATTGGAACATAAATTGCTTAATTTGGTGATGGCTGCTATGCAGTCATTGCCCCTCCGCTCAAACTGATGCCTAGAACTGCGATTCTATAAATAGCATGCCACATAAGTGAACCAATATTGCAGAGCAATTTTTCTAGCCGAAGTCATAATTAGCCACATAAGGGACCTATTATTCTTGCTGCACTACTTCTTTTACTTTAAACAGTATGAATTATTTGAAACTTTTCTTCTCTGCAGTTTTTCATGCATTTTTTTTAACTGATTGAAAAATGCATTCGACCTTCATAGCATTCTGAAGCTAGCACATTGCAGGTAAAGAAGGCCTCGCTCAATGGCTTGAAGAACCAACATATCCTAATACTACTTTATCATGGAACCTCATTCATGGTGAGGCTTGAAGTCAGGAATATGATCTTCATTTTTGTTTTTCAAAATAAGTACTACACTAATGTCAATTATTGCTTCTTCACAGGAAGTGGTATGATTGAGCAGGACATATCAAAGTCTTCCAGTTACTATGTTTCTGTGGGTAACTTGAACACAGAGGATGTGGAGGTAATTGTCGAACTATGACCTTGGAATTTGAATCCATTGTACACTTTTTTCCTTTATTATGGTGTGTGCTCATCCACTTAAAAAGCTATATTGGGAAATAGTACTTATGGGATTCATTGTTATTTGGAATAAAATAAGGGAGGTGATTTTCCCACTCCCATTTTCTCCACTTACACTCCCTTTTGCTTTTTAATACTTTTTAATTAATATTGTTCTTTTTTGTTCTCTCTTTCCTATTATACCCTTATTCTACATTAAGGTTTTGATAACTGAAATTAAGAAAAGTTAACAAAAAAATAAAACAAAAAACAAACAAAAAATCTGGAAAATGGATAGAAATGTGAGTATTTGTATATCAAATTCTTAGTTTTTTTTTACCAAGTATGTGAGTACTATTTATCTTTGTTGTAGTTAATAGATAATAAATTTTTTAGACTAACATATAAATATGGTAGAAGAACCAAAGAATGCTACTAACCAAACTGTCATTAGGAGCTATGCAGAAAGAGAAAGAACAAAAACCCCAGCATTGGGTCTGTTATAGTGGTTATTGACCATAACCCCAGCATACAGCTAAAGTGAGTGAATTACAGGTTGAGTGAGAGTAAAAATGCAAAACATTGTTCTTCATAAGACCTGTATATCCTGATTTAGGGATGAAAGAGTTTCAAGATGACATGAGGGCTTTGAGAGTATTCCTCATAAGGGTCTCTATTTTCCCCTTTTCCTAATGCTATTATCTTACATTCAAGAATATTGTGGCTGTTTGATGTTATCTTCCCACCCCTTTATACTATTCACTTGGGTTTATCTTTGCATTGAACAGGTGCAATTGAACTTCACAGTGAATGCTTTATTGTACAATACAAGTGCAGCTTATTACAAGTGTTCTTTCAAGGGTGCATCCTGTAGTTTGAAAATTTTGTTTCCCGATGGAAATGCAGCTGTATTAACCTCTCCTGGTCCAGAGCAGGTAAGGCTGTAATCTAGTGGATTATCAGAAGAAGATGTCACCCTGGAAACTTGTGTTCATTTGGTTCTTACCCTTTACTCTAACATTTCTTTTGGTTGCCCCAGGATATACCTAATGCAAACCAGTATGTCAAACTGTCATATGGACCAAGATGGGCCACTTATATTGTTGGTATAGGTAGACTCATTCTCCCATTTCTTCTCATAATGGAACCTTTATGTATCAATCTTGTACAATATTTAATTTTCTAGCATGTAGGTGGGATGACTGTGCTTATGTTAGTGGCCTTCAACTTCATGAACAAGTTCCGATGTACCAATGAAGATGGAATAAGAATACAACAGGACGGTTTCAGATCTGAGAGAGCCCCATTGCTTTCATACAAAGATGAGGATCAATCAAGTTGGGGTTCATCGTATGACTCTGCCTCGAATGATGAGGGGGATCTTGAAGACTTTCTGGCAGCAGGTTCTCTTGAAGGGAAGTCAGTAAGAGATGGTGAAAGTAATAATACTCGTCGTCTTTGTGCAATTTGCTTTGATGCTCCTAGGGACTGCTTTTTCCTTCCCTGCGGGCACTGTGTGGCTTGTTTCGATTGCGCAACAAGGTATTATTCTCTACTGTTTCTATATGTCATATCTAATTGTGAAGTTACTCTATTCTTCGGCCAGCAACAAGTCCACAAACTAGTTGTAACAGTTGACAAGGCCAGTTGTTGATTAGGCCATACATAGTTCTGATTTCGGAAGAGCCTCATCCAATGAGCTTTTAAAAATACTAGTAACCAGTGATTCAGGCATCATATTTGGCATGTTCATCATTTTGTTATTTGAATTGCACTTCATTGCATGCATTGTGGCTATTTCAGAATCCAATTTAATAATTGATTACTTGTTTCAATTCTCCCAGGATAGCAGAGGCAGCTGCTACTTGTCCAATTTGTCGTAGAAACATAAAGAAGGTGAGGAAGATTTTTACAGTTTAAGTAATACACAGCTCCATGTAATACCGGTAGGCGCCATTACTTTACTGCCTGTCAATAGAACTGGTGAAGCTAATTTTAGCTGGTTACCGGGGTAGTTTCTGAGTGTGGATTGGCCATGCCTTGTGGTTTTTCAGTGGCTTTCCGGTATGTAATATGATTTCCGGCTGTAGAAAGCCTCAATACGCCCAAAATAGGATAAGTAATTCAAAAGTGTATTCTTTACCCCCACGTTGTAGGTTGGGTTCAGTTTTTGGGTTTTCTATATCAATCTTCAATGGTAACAATGTTGTTGATGTATATTACTATATTGTTTGGTTAACCACTTTTTCTGAGTGCGTCACAAATTTATGTATCTTATTTTGTGACTGAAATTGAACTCAATTTGTCACGAGACCTTGTTGGTTCAAAAGGAAAAATAACTGGTTGTAAAACCTGGTTTCATGAATCTAAGGATAATGTAAAGAACTTTTTTTGTCAATTTGGTCATTGTGTTTAGTTTTATTAGCAATTATATGGACAATTTTCAAAATTTTCTCAAATGAGCTTTAGATCACAACCAAGAACTTGTTTAAACTTGCGATTTTCACTCAGGATCGCTGAAAATCATGCTCGTAGCCTTGTTTGATTTTCAAATGAGACTTATAAATCCCCAACTTGGAGTTAAAAACAAAAACTACAAATTCTTTGAGATTCAATTTCTTAATGAAATAAACACACAAATTCAATATGAATTTATTAGTTATAGAAACCTCATGAGGCTCCTTTAAATTGAAAATTTGGAATCTATCCAGTGAATTATTGTAATAACAAAAATTGCTTACAAAACCAACCAGATTGAATAAATCGTAAAAAAATACCAACGGGGTGTTAATTGGATTGACTCATGTCTTTAGTATGCTCCTAAATAATCTTGGATTCAAGCCTCCATAATACATGTGTATGTGAATTACCCCTCCCTTTCCTAACTTAGGAAAAAAAAAAAAGGTTAAACAATATAACCACAGTATCAAAATTGCAGTTTAGCATAAGGGTTACAAGTATCTAAGATAAATGAATAAAGTAGGATGCATCAATGAAAAGTGAAGACTGAAGAGGAACAAAGATTTAGTTTTTGGTCATTGTCTTTTGTCCTGGTGGGTGAAAGAGAGTCCAATAAATGAAGTCCTCCTAAATGCTCCCAACAAATCCAGCAGAAAAAGATAACGTTAAATAATGGAAAAAATAGAGAGGAGAGGTCCAAGTTGAAGACGCCTCTTCTTTGGCCAATGCGAATCGCCGCCGCCTCCCCCACCTTGGGTTCTTCTAGTATTGAGAGCAGAAAATGTGGTCAAAAGATGCTTTACAACTCTTGCAGTTATGTGCCTCCTTAACCTTAGTCCATTACTATATATATATATATATTTTTTGGTAAGGCATTACTATATTTTATAGTCATACATTTTTTTCAGGCATGATGATGTAAAAGTAAAATTTTTACTTCTAGCATACATAGGTTTAATTCTTTTGCAAGCTTTAGCTTTCAGCCCCTCAATTCTCTCTCTCTCTCTCTCTCTCTCTCAAATTATCAAATTCTCAGATTTTTGGCTCCCCCCTCTAAATCATAATTGAAGAAAATCCTTATAAATCAATATGTCCATTTTAATATGCCACATTCTTACTTCGTATACAAAATTATTTACTAACTGGCAAGAGATATTTAATTATATACCAGAAGTCTTTCATTTCATATTCACGTTTTGTACCGGAGATTATTATGAATTGATGGACATTATAAGGTTATATTGCAATATTTTAGAGTATTATATGTCAAAATTTGAATAACAACGAAATGAAATGAAGAAAACAAATGAAATTGAAATGACTATATACAATGAGTCAATTGAAATTCATTCCAAATATATAACATCTAGCTATACATTGAATCTAAAGTTTTCTATTTTTGTATATAGCAAATGTATTTTTATTGTCAAATACAAATCCTTATATAGAAATGCCCTTTACACTTATACTCCGTTTGGATGAAGGAATTGCCAATTACTTAGAATTCTAAAATGACGGAATTTAGATTTCCGTCATTTCAATTTCTAGCAATTGAAGATTTCTGTGTTTGGATTTATGTATGTCGGATTTTGTAAATGAAAAATTGAAAATTTCAATGTTTGGATATCTCATGTAAATTATAAATGATAGAAATTAAATATTTCGAAAGAAAGAAAAAACTGATAATCGACATAGAAGGTATTCCTCGAAGTCTAAAATAATATATCGTTTGATAAACTAAATAACTCAACTTAAACAAACAGAGCATATTAGCAAACCAAATCACTCCCCACGTGCAATAAACATCAGCAACATACTCTTTTTTTTTCTCAATTGGGAGTGCCTTGAGCATCTGAAATTGTTTGTCATTTTCTATCAGCCAAGCACATGCTTTGAGTTGTTCATTTTCACTAAGACCTGGTACTACTTGTACTTCAGCATATACCTCTGCTGGATCAAGGTTCTTAGTATCAGCACGGATAAACTCTTCAAATGATAAAACCATTCTAGCAATCGAATCAGCAATAACATCTTTAACAGCACCTCTTTTCTTTGTAGGAAGAATATCAGAAGAATATCAGTATATACAAAGTGATAAAGCTAGCAAACAACTACAGAGTGATTAATGACTTTTTTTATATGAAAAGTTTGGCATTTTTTTTATTTATTTAAGTTTTGGCTCCATGGAAAATATGAATTCCTGCACTACGGAAATTGTGAAATGACGTCTATTTTGGTGGAAATTAAACTTGGGAATTTGATGCCTCAATTTCCATGATTTTTTCCGCGCATCATTTAATGAATTATGCGCTTAAGTTGCCAAACAAGGGAATTGTCAATTTCTTCTCTTAAATTCCCGACTTTTAGCTAAATTCCGAGTTATTTTCCAGCATCCAAACGGAGGGTTAATTTCCACCTCATATATAAAGTGGGTGAAAGAGACCCGTTAGATGCAGCGGTTGTGAGGAAATCAATTGAGGGTTTGGAGTTTGGACCGTTGAGATTGAAAATTTATTACTTGCATTTCTTTCTGTTGAAAAATATAATTATAATTCCTAAGATCTGCACAGTCAGAGTCTTACGTTTTTATCACCAACGACTGGAAATTTCAGTTCCCACGTAGCAAAACGATTCGGCACATTAAAATGCGTGGCCTGGAGTCTAACAAACTACCAAGTGGGTATCTTCACCATACCAACTCTCCATTCCCAGTCTCTCCACCGTCCGATCACCATACTTCACACCATCAATCAAGAATTCTGTATAAAAATAAAATCAAACGGTCCTCATTAAACACACTGCCCAACCCCACCTTCTAAGCCCACGCGTCCTGACCTCGCGTGGTACCCACCCCCTCTTTCTTAGAACCATTCAACCGCCACCCTATATAAATCCCTCCAATCCATTCCCCTCCCAAAACCCTCGCCACCCTCGCCTCTTTCTCTAGAACCTTCAGTCTCTCTCTCTCTCTCTCTATCCCCCTCTAGAAATGGCGGGTTCCGGCGTGGTAGCTGTGTACGGAAATGGAGCAATCACCGAGAGCAAGCAATCGCCGTTCTCCGTCAAAGTGGGCCTGGCCCAAATGCTCCGCGGCGGCGTCATTATGGACGTCGTCAACGCCGAGCAGGCTCGAATTGCAGAGGAGGCAGGCGCGTGCGCCGTCATGGCCCTGGAGCGGGTGCCCGCCGATATCCGGGCCCAGGGCGGGGTGGCCCGAATGTCCGACCCGCAACTCATCAAAGAAATCAAGCAGGCCGTGACCATACCCGTCATGGCCAAGGCCCGAATCGGCCACTTCGTCGAGGCCCAAATCCTTGAAGCCATCGGCGTCGATTACGTCGACGAGAGCGAGGTCCTGACCCTCGCCGACGAAGAGCACCACATCAACAAGCACAATTTCCGGGTGCCGTTCGTCTGCGGGTGCCGTAATCTCGGCGAGGCGCTCCGCCGAGTCCGAGAAGGAGCGGCTATGATCCGGACCAAGGGCGAGGCCGGCACGGGGAACATCATCGAAGCGGTGAGGCACGTGCGGTCCGTGATGGGGGACATTAGGGTTTTGCGGAACATGGACGACGACGAGGTGTTCACTTTCGCGAAGAAGATCGCGGCGCCGTACGATCTGGTGATGCAGACGAAGCAGCTGGGGAGGCTGCCTGTGGTGCACTTTGCGGCGGGAGGGGTGGCGACGCCGGCGGATGCGGCGCTGATGATGCAGCTGGGTTGCGACGGGGTGTTTGTCGGGTCCGGCGTGTTCAAGAGCGGTGACCCGGTGAAGCGGGGGAGGGCGATTGTGCAGGCTGTGACCCATTACAGGGACCCAGATGTACTGGCTGAGGTGAGTTGCGGGTTGGGCGAGGCCATGGTTGGGTTGAATTTGAAGGACGAGAAGGTGGAGAGGTTTGCTAATCGGTCTGAGTGATGAAACAATCTTTGTTGTTTGGGAGGAGAAGGAAGCCGGTGTTTGGGTGGGTGGGTTTTAGTTTTTTTACGTGTAAAAAATTAATTAAAGATTATGTTTTTGGGTCGTTGTTTGTTTTTTTTTTTTGGTCATTGTCGTTGTTTGTTTGTTTGTTGGGTTTAGTTTTTGCTTAATTTAATAAGGAATGAAGTTTATGTTTCTGCTTTGTAGCAGCTGATAAAACAATCTTGGTCTAATTACTGATTATTAGCATGCTAATCTTGTAATGTTTATATCATTATATGTGCATTATGCGAATCATTCAACCGGTTTTGGTTCCAAGTTGCCTGGGTTTCGACTGGTGTTTGCTTTCTTTGCTCACCACTAACATAAGGGAATAGTGTTTTGGCCGTTTGGGCTTCATTCTTTCAAAAGTTTGGGATTTTCTGGGTTAAGGGCTAAGATTATGAGTGATTCAACGGCTAATTAATTTATTCAACGGTTAAGAGATAGGGCCTCATCTAAAGAGCAACTCCACCAACCACTATTCATGAGATATGAGAAGAGGAATTTGTATAGAGTTTTGGTGTGGGAATTGAAAAATATGACTTAAGTATTTATTTTAAAAAAATTCTGAAATTTTTAGTATTTTTTAAAACTCTTTTTAGTTACTAACATCATCGATGACGTTAGCAAATTCAGACTATTGCAAGGGCTGATTTTGTCTGAGGGCCCAGGCTTGTGGAGCCCACACCCAGTCCGGGTAAAAGAGGCCCAATGGAACCTCCTTTTCTTCTTGGCCCCCTTGCCCCAGCCCTGGCGCACCGTTGGAAGTGCTCTAATGATCATATATATGGCAATTCTTGGCTTCAAGTTTGAGTTCGGGCCAGTGACGCAAGTTTGAGTTTGAGTTTGGGTCTAGGTTGAAAGTCCAGGATACAGCGACCCAACAAATCCATTTAGCTCTTATTCTAAAAAAAACTCTACTTCCACTATGTGCAAAGGATTCGAACTCGGTGCAAGAACCGACTTAAATTTTACATGCCGTTATTCATCGTGGGACGTGAATGTCAAAATCAAAAGTTTGGTGCAGATCATATAATGCGAATAGCCTCTAGAACTATCCACTCTGAGCCTATTGAAAAATTATCGAAATTGTTACTTGAAAATGATTGGCTTGTTCGATAACTTTTTTGCTTTTGATATAGAGGAAATTTCAATGTTACGAGAAGAATTTGAGGAGAAACGAGCATACTGTCTTAGCCAATTGACCTAACACACAATACATTCATTGAACCAAAATGTTACTCCAAAATTTCCCAAAAATATCAAGTACAGAATCCTAGTTGAACTTGGGGAGACGCAAGGAAGACAAGATGGGAAATCTTTATTATTTTTCTTTTAACGAAAAGGCATTAAGAATAAAAAGAAAATTTAAAAGGAAGTTTCTTAAACTGCTCATCTGGCATTAAACTGGAAACACAACGTACTCCTTGCTCGTTTAGAAGTCACGAAATACTCCCCACCCTTTTTCCTCTCCTTCCACTTTCATATTTTAAAATCTCTCTTCGCCCCTCCCAAACGAAATCTTATGTTCAAAGCAGGCGTAAATTTCACGATCTTGCAGTTTCCTCTGTAAGAAAAATTAGGGTTTTCGTTCTGCAATGGTGGGCATGATGATGGTCGCGAACTCCAACGAAAGACTCGCGAGTCTCATGGACTCAGCCATCTTGGCCTCTGACATACCGTCGAAGCTCGACCGGCTACGCCAATCAAAGCAAGATTTGGCGGTCCAACAAGACCCTGCGTTGCTCTCTGGGCTCCTTCCTCGCCTCTTCGAGCTTCAGTCCGACCGGTTCAGTCCGGTTCGAAAATTTGCCACTGAGTGCGTTTTCTCCAAACCCTAGTTGTACTATTCGCCAGTTCAATTCGTCTTTCTCTTTATAGTAGTTTTATAATCTATTTATTGAAGGCTTTGCCTATGGCTTTTTTCTACAATGTAGAATGCTTGGCGAAATTGGACTGATGCACGTAGAATTATTACCAGAAATTGTACCTTCGTTAATTAATGTTGTGAGTGATGGAACACCGGCTGTTGCTCGACAAGCCATCACTAGTGGGATTCATTTATTTCGTTGCGTTCTCGAAAAGGTTTCAATTCAGGTAATTCTATGTCGAACGTTATTTAATGCTTACTAATGGTGTCCTTGATTCTACTGCTCAGGTTACTTTTTTATGATCAAGTATTGAATGAATAAATCCAAGTAATTTTAGTAACAATTTTTCGATTTAAAGTTGATTTATAATGATCGACATTCTGAGTCATGGGTAATGTTTCAGGGTTTACATTCTAGTGAATTGGACAGTTTGCTTGAGTCATCTTGGGCATGGGTGTTAAAGTTGAAGGAGGAAATATACTCGATAGCTTTTCGGGTAAGAAATAGTTCTTTTGTTGATGACATATGAACGTGTTTTCATTGTGGTCTAATGCACTGTATCATGCTTACCAGCCAGGAAGCGGGGGGATAAGGTTGCTAGCACTGAAATTTGTTGAATCAGTCATTCTTCTTTACACTTCTGATCCTAATGGCTCCCCAGAGCCCCCTGCTCATGAAGGTAATACAATTTGACACTGTGCATTGGGCGCAGAACTCAAATGACTTGATTTTGTTTATGAAGGATTCTTGTCTGCTTTGTAGGGGACTTGGTGGAATTTAATATATCTTGGCTTCGTGGTGGCCATCCCCTACTCAATATTGGAGATTTGACAATTGAGGCTAGTAAAAGTTTGGGTTTATTGCTTGATCAACTTAGGTTCCCAACTGTGAAATCGCTTGGTAACTTAGTGATCATTGTGCTTATTAATAGGTATCTTGGCTTTCTTTGGGTCATACGATTCTTTTTATTTTCTACAATTTTTTAAGTTATGAGTTACTCCATACAGCTATTCTATCCCAAATTTAAATGCTGAAAAGGGATAGATGACCAGCTCCAGTGAAGGTGTTCTCCAGAACAAAGATAAAAATTTGTAGAAATTGCTCACTTTACCAACTCCGCCTCTTAATAATTGGAGGAAGTGCATGGTATAAGGGAATTTTCTATTCATTTCCCTTCCTTGGTCACCAGAGTTTGCGAAGAAATAAGTTTGGACATACCATGTATGGGAATTTAGGTCTTGGGTGCTGAGTGATATAATATTGTCTCGTGATGTCATACCGGTTACACCTGTATGATGATGTTTGGATTCTTAAGAGATTGTTCTTTGGGAGCGGTAACAACTTATATGTTCTATAAGAGAATAGAAATATACAATAAGTATGTATATAATTAGTTTCTAATTTATGATGTGAATTTAATTGTTGTGTACAAGTTTATACTAGATGGAGTAAAAGTAAAAGCAAAAGCAATCTTAGAGACGATTGTAGTTTTTGAGGACTGTATTTTAGGATCATATTTAGGGTGATGACAACAGTAGTAACATGTTGCCATTTACAAGTAGTGGCCTAGGGATTTCAATATTCTGATACATTTGTACTCGTTTACTTTATGGTGTATTATTATTTCTCTGGGGATGATGTATATTTTGTGTACAAGAATAGAAATATAAATAGCATTTATCCCGAGTCAAGTGTGTGTCAAGAGCTTCCTTATATTTTTAGTGGCATAATTATTACAGCTTGTATGTGTTATTGCTAACAGTTGTTACTGTTTCTTTTTTCTTTATTATATGATATTTCTTGCCAGTCTTTCAGCAATTGCGAAGAAGAGGCCTGCATTCTATGGTCGCATTTTGCCTGTATTACTTGGATTTGATCCCTCAAGCGCTGTCATTAATGGGGTACATGTCTCTGGGGCACACCATGCCTTAAAAAATGCCTTCCTCACCTGCTTAAAATGTACACACAAGGGAGCTGCACCGGTATTTTGTTTAATACCAGACTATTCTAAATACCTTATGTTTGTCCTGCTTAAAATGTTCATGTTATACTTGTGGTATCAATTTCTCATGAGTGAGGGAGTGGAAGTTGATGAATAACTGCTCTAAAATGCTTGATAACATGTGGCTCTGAAAGACATTAAGTTTCGGTGTATAAAGCAGTAACTGTTTTTTAAGTTTTGACAATTATTAGGTGCATCTCTTTCAGTAAGTAAGCATGTTGTTAAAATTAAAGAACCTTATGCAAAAAGTGAAAGTGTGATTGTCATGAGTAATATTGTTATTTAGTTGGAATGCCAATGAGCGCATGTTGACCTACTGTGGTTCATAGAAACACCCCATGGATCTGTATTTATATTAAGGATATTTCTTGTAGGAATGCCATTGTTTTGACTTGAAAGAATATAACTAAAAGTCCACTTGTAGGAATTTCTAAATTCTAATCCTAAAAGGCTTATGCCTTAATGCCTTGTCTCATTGCTCGTAAATTTCTTGCATGGTTCAACTTTGATAACATTGCAATCTTTTGCTGAAATAGTTTCATTGTTCTCATTATCTATGGAAAGACCAGGTGGCTGGCTTTCTTTAGTTGATGTTATCTAGTTTCTGCTTTGTGCATTTACTTTGTTTTACAGAATTGCTAAATGATGGATTTGCTTTCGCAGTGGCGGGATCGTTTAGTTGGGGCCTTGAGAAAGTTGAAAGCTGGAGGGTTGGTAGAGCAAGCCATTCCTCAAGCTTCCAAGATTAATGGAAGTGTGGAGGATGGACTAGATGATTCTCCAATTACTAAGGTATTCGTTCACCTTTACTTCCCATTTTATTATATTAGTTCTGTAGGTACATATAAAATAGATGCTCTTGCAAAAGTTCACATTGGGCCATTGACATAATTGTATCTCGGAGCTTCATGAGCATGACCTTAATTTTTTGCAGGAGGAGAAACCCACAATTAAAACATCTAATGCTGTGCAAAGTAGTTCTGGGAGGAAACGGTTAGGAGCACTGGATAGTAGTGACCTTGCAGAGGACGAAGATGTTTCTGGAAAGCGTGCCAAATCGATATCTAGTGTCTCTGAGGAATCAGTGAAAGAGTGCGATATGAATATTTCTGTGTCTCAAGATGACATTTCTTCAAGTG